GAAATTTTAATTTGACCGAATCTTTAATAAAAAAACACTCTTATGTGCGTTACTTAAATTAATTGATGATGGGAGCATAAACATTGGTACAAACAATTATTTTTTATATTTAAAAGTTAAAATTATTAAAAATAAAAATTTAATGACTGAAATTAATAATTTAATAATTTATCAATAAATCTTATGTTAATCACATAAACACAAGAGAGAATGAATGAAAAAGAAATCATGTAGAATCGATAATCACATAATAATATTTATGTAAAATTTTTATTTAAAAAGTAATTCAAAAATTACTTTTTATATATAAAAATATATTTTTTTATTAAATCAAATATACGAATACCTTTATGTAAATATTTTAATATGAAACAGAGTTTGCCCTTGACATTGAAATGCATGAAATGTAGTTAGAGATTTTATTTTATTTTATTTATTTCTCACTCTTTTAATTTGATGTGAGGTTGCTTTGGGTTTTGGATTCTTGTGGGAGTTCCTTTTCCTGGCTTCAGTTACAGAGATTTGGGGCAATGAAAACGAGATCTTTCTTTCACTCACTTTTCTTTTGTGATTTGATCTTTTCTTTGTATCAGACTCTGCCTTTCCTTTGTTTTATTATTTGTTTGCTTCAAGTTTTCCACTTTTTGGAGGGTTTCTTTTTTTTTCCTTTTCCTGGAAAAAGGAAAAAAAATTATTTCCATATTTATATCAGATTCTAATCTTGAAGTTAAGGACTGCCAAATGTGAAAAGTCATTATATATAAATAAAAAATTATATTTCTAAACATTTAATTTAATAATTCATTTATATTTTTTATATTTAAATTTGAGTTTATCTTCAACTACTTGATTTAATGATCAAGATAATCTTAAAGAAAATATCAAGATTGAGGTTTGAATCCCAATCTTCTCTCTCCCCTTTAATGTAAGGCTCTGCCCTTTGAATGACTAAAAAATTATATATTTAAATTTGAGTTTGAAAAATCTACTTTCAATTAGTAAAAAATAATTAAAACTGGTTTGACACTATCTCTTTCATTTTTTCATAACTGTAAATTCGAAACTTGTAAAATAGACTTTCGATTTCTAAATGCTGAAATGTCTTATTGGTAGACTCCTTTAATAAAATTTTGGTTTTTTCAAATTATTAAAGTTAAAATTAATCAATAATATCACTTAACTTCTCATTTAAATTCAAATTTAAACCTATAAAAAATTGTCTCCACCTAATTCTCTGCTACCACCATAATAAGTAATAATAGAACTCGGGTACATTTTATTTGTAATTTTTTTATTATAATTTTAAAATTATCTAATTATAATAAAAAATTATATAAAAATTTATCACTTATAAGTGTGAATTTTATATAAAATTTTAATGAACCTCACATAAATTTAAATTGTGATTAGTTAATTATAATATAATTATTTTAGGTGATATATGCTTTCAACAAGACACGACTACTAAAAATTAGTTTTTTTTTTTTTTTTTTATGAAAAGGATATAGTTTGAAGATAATGGAAAAGATTGTATATATTAAATTTTAAATTTTAAATCGGCTAAATATTACTATTAAGAGTACTCATATAAACAACTTGAATTAAGTTCCGAATTTCCAATAATTAGTTTGATTAATACATTACAATAATACCTTGATTAATCCTTTCTAATTGTACCAAATATTTATTGAATCATTTATGTAACTTGGACTTATCAAAAAGAGCTCTACCCTTGACTTTCCTTCCCAATCCTTCAAAGCAAACTTTTTTTAGTTTTTTTTTTTTTTTTGAGAAGATCCTTCAAAGCAAGCCTAAACGTGAGCAATTGGCATAATGGCCTCATATTGTACATGCAATTTTTGGGTTTTCTTTTCCCTTTGCTCTTTGCTTCATAACATGAAGAATTTTGTCAAATAAGGAAAAAGATGAGATTTGCGTGTGATGGAGATCCGAGTGATGATGATGTGTATGACTGTTTATTAAAAGAGGAAATATTTGGGGGTGTGAATTTATTATTTATAGAAAATATTAATATTTGGTATTAGAATTTATTTGGTTTTGCTGTCTCCCCCAAGACCCACAAAGATCTTTTCCTCAGTCAAACAAACAAACAAACCCATCATTACTTTTGAAACAAATAAAAACAAACACAGAGTCTCTCTAAATACGTTACAACCTAATTTGCATAGCCATTTTTCTTGTGACAGTGGTTTCCCATGCATTCATGATAAGTGTGATAGCTTTCTCCATTTTTAGAACAAGATACTCTAAAATTTATTACCACATCACTTTTTTTTTTTTTGGTTAGTCTTAGTTTTAATTTTAAGCTTTTTACTAATTTTTTTTAACAGTTATGTAAACCTTTGGTAGAGTATTAGACTTTTAATTTTGTGATCAAGTTCAAATTTTGATAATTTTAAATATAAAATAAAATTACAGTATCTGGGGTAAAATTGTAAATTTTGACCTTCATCTTTGGTGCCAAATGCAATTTAGTTTCATGCAATAAATATTACAAATTTAATAATCAAAATGGGAGGTTTGATTCACCTTTTTTAGTTACTAATTTGTTTTTACTATGTCTATTTATTAAATCAATTCGGTTTCAATATTATATGTAGATATCCTAATTCATATGTTATACATCATTGATTTGCATGTGAACTGTTGTTTCCTTTCACAACCCCTTGCCCTGATTCCCACTTGTTCTATTCACTCCTAACTTTTCCATTTAAAAAATGTGATAAAACATACATATTATATGACTAAGCTTTGCAGGAAAATTGGCCAGTGGAAACTTATTCACTATTAATTTTTATAATTTATAGATCATACCAAATAATTATGTTCTTTTATGAATAATGAATGTAACTATCCAAGTTAAAGAAAAAAGAATATTTATTTTCTAATTAATTTGGTTAAAGGAGACTAAATTAATCCAATAATAATTTTATACAAAGAATATGGTTTTTAGATCTATAGAGACATGTATTTTTTGTACAAAAGAGACTTCATTATTATAATAAAAGAAAAAATTATAAGTATTGAAATTTGAATTTTAAATCTGTTGGCCGTCATTTTTTAAGAGTGATTATATGAATTAACTAAATTAAAATTTGAATTTGAAGCATGCATTCCAATTGCCACCATTCACCAACTTTTTTTATCTCATGCTTACCATTTAATTAAATTAAACTATACATTTTGGTATTGTAAGTTGAATTTTAATCTCTAAAAATTTAATGGGTTACCTTTTGTCCATAGAAAAAATGAAGAAATTTACATAGTTTAATATTTAAGAAAAGAATATTAACGTTGTTCAAGCTATCTTAGTGAATCTGAGTCACTATACAACATGTGTCATCATTCAATGTTTGCTTTTTATAACAAGATCAAAGCTAATATCAAAAGAATTAATCAATAAATATAAAATACTCAGCTTTTTAATTGAAAATATAAAATATTTTATGAAAGCATAAAAGTGGGACAATGATTTCAACAGTCAAAAGGAATCAACAAAGAAAAAAAATAATTAAAGTCACCTAAAAATCAATCAAAAGAAAGAAAAGAAAAGGGAAGTTGAATGACTCACCCCACCAAAAAAGAAAGTAACAAATATTTATTTGTTTGTTTTTCAATGAAATGATAAAGAAAATAAAAAGAAGGCTATAATAATTAAACTATTTGATTCCCCTAATCCAAAAAGAATACTATTTTTGATTGTGGAAAAACTAGTCAAGCACTTGGTTTTATTATCAACAATCACTTTCTTAATTAATTAATTATCTTCGTATCTATGAAATTTGAGAACAAATATTTTATAATATATTTTTAAGTTTGGTGATGGGTCTAAGTGGTGGGAATCATTTGAAAAAAAAAAATCTTCAAGTTTATGGGGTTTTGCACCAACCTTTTACATAATATTACCACTTGTTTTTTGTTGCTTACGAGTTTCATTCCCTTTCATGTGCATGCAAAAGCTCCGTCTCGTAAATGAGGAAAAAAAAGATTGTAATTTTTTTTTTTTTGTATTGCTTTTGTTGTCCCCCATTAAGATTTATGATACTTTTACAAAGACAAATAAGAAAATTCATGTACATTTATGCATGTATCAAAGCAAAAAGCATGGCTTTGATCAATACTCAAGTACATCATTGTAGAAAGAAGAGAAAATCTAAAGTTGTGACTTTAAATGAACTCAAATTGGCTTTTGAGTGAGTAGGCCTAATCAAGACGGCTTTACCTATAATTATACTTCTAACTTATAACTAAATGAAAAATGTGTGTTGGGTGCATATTTATGAAAAAAACTTGACACAGCAATAGATATTAAAGATATATAATTAATCTACTGTTAATAAGTTTAATTTCCAAAGAGGCACTAACATCCAGGATACCTTGTTGAAATGGGAAAATCTATGCCTGTGTTGGGAATCTCTCATGTCTTTTTGGCCATATCGTCATTCTTTTTAGTTTTGAAAGAATAACATGCTCCATATTAATTCGTAATGAAAAACTCAATGTTAGACACAATTTGGTATTGAAAAATCTCTAATTTGGTAATTCAAGTTTGATTTGTGAGACGAAAAGACTATAATTGTTTTAACTACATAAAAATATAAATGATTTTAACTCAAGAATAATAGAACTTCAAATAATTTAAATCCAAAATAATTAACTAAATTTGAGCAAATCGGCCCTTATGCTATCAAAATTAGTAAAAAAAAGTAAAAAAATAAATAAATAGAGAATAAGTAGTGGGGACAACATTAAAATTTTAAAATTTTTTTTGACATAAAAGCCTTAGTTTAGAAATTAAAAAATTTTACAAACATTGTAAATTGAATTTTAATTTTCCGAGAATCATCTTTAAAAAATAAATTAACCATTTCCATTTGAATTAAAAAATCTCATTTCACTTTGAAATTTTTTGTTTTTTCGGTTTTTATTTTAAATTTTATCATTTGGAAAAAAAAAAAAAAAGAAGCAAAAGGGTTTGAGAAAGAGACAAACAGATTCTGGTGCTGTTCCAAAGCCCGATGAGAAAAAGAAAGCGAGGCACGGCCAACATCAGTACCAACACATCCAAAACCAAAGAGAGACACACTCACCCACCCACCCACACGAGCGGTTCTCGAGTTGCATGCAAAGCCCCAGACTTTCATTTTTTATTTTTTTTACTTCTTTAATAAATAAATAAATAAATTGGTCTCCTACTCAGTCCTCGTTCTGACATGGGCGCCTAAGACCCTGCCCTGACCTCATTTATCTTTGCTTTTTTAAATGCAAGAACAAGAGAGCAAGAATCGTGTGGGTTCTTCTCTTCTTTTTGTTTTTATTTTTGCTAATGCTAACTTTGCTTTTTCCAAGCAGTGAAAATAACTAAAATCCCTTGCCATTTTAAACCTTGTTTTCCTTTGATTCTTCTCTACCCCACACATTTGATTAACAAGAGACTAACTCTCTCAATTCTCAACTCTCTCTCTTCCTCCTATTTCCTTTTCTTTCCTCTCCTTTCCCTCTACCCAAACATTCTTCTCAAATGGCTGACAGAGATACCTAGCTTCTTTCTTCTTTGATCATCTGTTCCTTTCTTCTTAGTCCTCTTAACAGTTTTTTTTCTTGGTTTTCTTTTCTGGGTTTATCCTGGTTTTTGATAACAATGAGTTTACAAATTCTAACTAACGATTTTAAATGCTATAATGGGGTGGTTCAAGAGATGAACTTTTTAGCTCCTCCTGCTATTTTTTCTCATCCAATAGAGAGAGATACAAAAAACTCTCGAATGGGGTTTCAGATTTCAAGCTCTTTAATGGAACAAAGCAATAAATGTTTGAGCTTTGAGCCGCCAGAAAGCAGGGGAAGTAAGGGAGTTGCTGCTTGTGATGGAAAAGTTGGGTTTTTGGGTGTTGAAAAAAGTGGACTGTCTTTGAATTTAAGTGGTGAAGATGAAAGTAATAAGAACTCTGGTGCTCTTGGTGGGACCAAAATTGGACACACTAAGCTTTGTGCTAGAGGTCATTGGAGACCAGCTGAAGATTCTAAGCTGAAGGAGCTTGTAGCTCAATATGGGCCTCAAAATTGGAATTTGATAGCTGAACATCTCGAAGGAAGATCAGGTAACTCAAAATTTTCTGTCAAACAAAAATTATCAACATTCTATGAAAGTCTTTTTTTGTTTTTGGATTTATTTCACTTGAAAAGGAGAAAGTTGTTTTTCTTTTTTGCTTTTGTTCTACATTTTAAAGGGAAGATCTTAACAATGCTTTGAATCTGATTAGTTAAATCAAATAAAGTTCCATTTTGCTATCATTAGTTTTGTAAAAGTCTAATGATCTTTTTGCTAAATGGATGTTTTTTGTTGAATGATTGGCAGGGAAGAGTTGTAGATTAAGATGGTTTAACCAGCTAGATCCAAGTATTAACAAGAAAGCTTTTACTGAGGAAGAAGAGGAGAGGCTCTTAGCTGCACATAGGCTGTACGGTAACAAATGGGCAATGATTGCTAGACTGTTTCCTGGCAGGACTGATAACGCAGTAAAGAACCACTGGCATGTGATCATGGCTAGGAAACATAGAGAGCAATCAAGCATTTATAGAAGGAGAAAGCCTTCATCTTCTTCTGCCTCTCAGGCCCTCCCTAAAGGATTGGATGAGACTATTCAAAACAATGCTTGCAGTGATCAATCAATCATTTCTAGCAACATAGATGAATCTGCCTCTACTTGCACTGATCTATCCCTCACTCCCTCATCAGCTAAAGTGCCCGCTGGAGTTTGCACCTTTTTTAGTCCAGTTCACCAAATGGGTATGCTTACTTTTCCTATATTTACCAACGGTTGTAATGATCATTTGCTTTTCAATTGTACAATGCTTATATTTTTCATGTTGGGTTGATTTTGTTTTATTTTATCTTATAATAATTTATTAAATAAATGCTCTGTAATTTTGTGTTTTGCAGGTTCATCAGGTCAAAAAGTTGTGACCAGAGGAAATGGGGATTTTGACAAGTTTTATGGCACCGGTAATGTATTTTACCAACAAGGACCAATGGGAGTGGTTATGGGTGTGGACCAATCTACTCACTCATCAGATTCAAACTCAGAAGTTTCACCAGCTGAGTCAGTGGGCACAAATAGGACCAACCACTCCATGTCTGGGGAAAGTGGAAATGGAAATGAGAAGATCAACCTGCCCTTCATTGATTTCCTTGGAGTAGGAGCTTCTTAAAGACTATTGGGTTGCTCTTTTTTTTTGGTTAAAACTAAAGAGATCCAGCTGAAAACATAAGAAAAAAGAGCAAAACTTTTGTTGGGTCCAATGGGCAAAAATTTTGAGCTTCTGCAGTTGGTCATATCATCTCTGTAGTTTTGTATATACAGTTTAGTTCCATATATGGAACCAAAAGAGAACTATAGTTTAAAAAAATAGAGAAAGAGAGTTCTAAGCTGTTATGAGTTTAACAATATAATAAAGAAATTTTCAAACTTCTATTTGCATAGTTTTGGATTTATGCCAAACAACAATAGCAGCAGCTAGCAAGCAGGCCTTTGTTATTCTCTCGTGATTAAATGGAACTAATTTCCATGTGATATTTCACGACTCTTAATAACTCTGTTTGTGATTTGATTTGATTTTTTTTACCATATTTTACACGCTCCTGCTCCTAGCAATTGATTCCATGAAATTTCTTTTCTTTTCCCTTTAACCAATCAATTTCCTGTTTGAGATGTGGTTAAGCCAGGACCACATCGATGAAACATCAACAAAATTTCATGGCTACTGCTTTTCATTTGGAAGGCTGACAAGAAATTTTTTTTTTTTTATCATTTCATCACGTAGTTTTGATATTTAGATTTGTTTTTCATTGTTTCGTTCGTTTTGAGATTGAACCGTCTATCATCCAAACAAAGCTTTACATCAAATGGGGTCTACAAATCTTGCAAGAGTTTCTATCTTCATGGTTGGTATATAATCAATAAAAGAAAACTTAATTATGAAAAAAAAAAAAAAAGCATGACCGAAATCTAAAATCTTGTTTATGCAAAGAAATTTGATCATACATATATTATTTTACAATGATAAATTTATGTTTTCGTTCTTGGTTTTACTAAATTCTTACCAACTGATTTTTTCTTCAAAAGAAATCCCTTTTTATGTAATTTTACAATTTTTTTCCTATAAAATTATAATTATTTAATAATATTAAAAAATTATATAAAAATTCATCACTTATAAATGTAAACTACATGTAAAATTTTTACAAATTTCGTACCGTAAACATCTCAATTTATCTAAAGTTGTAATTGTTTGATTTATTTGTGTTAAATGTTAAAAAAAATGAAAAAAGAAAAAAGTAGGAAAGTTTGTAACTAAGTTTCCCACTACAACAAAATGACGTATTAGTGGCAGTTTTATAGCGGTCTTTCACTTACAAAGATCGTTAGCTTCCGTGTTTTTATAAAACTTCAGGCATTTATTATCCAAACACCACTAAATATTCAAATAGCAGCGTTGTTACTTATAAACGCCACTCAAGACTTGATATTAGAGGCGTTTTTCGACTAAAATGCCTTGAATATTTTTTATTAAAAATTTCGGTCAATAGTTAAGGCATATTTTTGACAGATAACACCTTCAATAATTACGTCATAAAAAATTGTATGAGATTAATGCAAACGTTGTTTATAAGAAACGCCTTTAATATTTGGACCAAAAATTTTTTCAAGCTTATTAAATTTATTTTCTTCATAAGTACATTCAATATTAAGCTTATTAAATTGTTTTGATAGTACGAATGTTTACCATAAGGTTGTTGGTACGATCCGTCCTTTAGCTTTTTTTTGGATTTAGGTATAGATTATTTATTATTTATTATTCTAGACGTTTTCTTGGCAAAAATGTCTTCACCAATTGCTTTAAAAAAATTTTCATAGAATATTGAAGATGTTTTTTGTTGAGAGACGCCCTTAATAATTGATAAGAAAAATATTGAGTCGATTCTTGAAGGTGTTTTTAGCCGAACTCGCCTTCTATAATCCAATTAGTAATTTTTTTTTTAATTTTTAAAGGCGATTTTGTAAGAAACGCCTTCATTATTACACAGACAAAACTTGGATAGGATAGTTGAAGGCGTTTTTAGCTCGAAACGCCTTTAATATTCTCAACGATAAATTTTAATAGTTGGATTATTGAAGGCGGGTATATCTAAAAACACATTCATAAACATTTTGTTACGGATTGTTGAAGGCATTACTTGTAGGAAAATGTCATTCATAATCCATTCGATTAATTTTTAGTTGGTATTATTGAAGGTGTTTTTTATCCAAAATGCCTTTAATATTCCAGACAATAATTTTCTAGGGGATTATTGAAGGCGTTTTTAGTAAAAAAATGCCTTCAATGTTTTCTTACGGAGGTGATTGAAGGCGTTTTCTTACTAAAAATGTCTTCATTAATCGTATCAAAAAAACATAATTGATACTTTATATGTGAAGTCAATTGTAGGTTTATGCCCAAAAAAAATGTTTGCTGTCAGTTGCATATTTATGCCCAAAAAAATATTTGATTTATATATCTGATACTATGAATTACATTTTGGAATTTGCATAATGAACATTGTTGTATTTCAAAAAATGAACTACACATCCGAAATTAAAACTAATAACGGTGTTTTATTAATATACTTTTTTGAAATAATCGTACTCAGTAATTTATTAAGTACACATAGTTATTCATATTAAGTGTAACAATAATATTAAACCAATACCCCCAATGTACAAACTTAAAGTTTCCATTCAACATGACATGTTAAAAACATTATAACAATTTGTTCCATATATATTTACATTCAACTAACAATGTCTAACCTGAAGGTTTATAAAAATTGATAAATGACAATACATAATTACACCATTCTTTACAGACTTCATCCAGCTCCTCTTCCGTGAAGCTTTCTTTACCCTCTCACTAAAAAAAAATATCATAAGTAAATGTTAAGAAATGAGAACATAATGTACCATTTTATTTTTTTGAATATATAACGAGTTTATGAAATTTATACTAACTTCAATGGTGTGGTCATAAAATCATGTAACACTATCTCCCACATAAAACGAAAGACATAATATCCACATTCAGTATTACCGAGTTGACGAAGTGCCTAAAAATTAAATTGAGTCGATCTAAAAAATATTTATCTAAACAAACTTAGCATTAAAAGAATAAATTTGACATTTACCGGTAATGACACCCATTTCGATTTCTTTATCTTTTTATTGAATACAGATATTATCCTAAATTGAAAAGAAAAAAATTAGTGGGAACATAAATAAAATTTCTTATAAACAAACAAAACATATATAATATAATAAAGTATTATAAAACCTCTTTATAAAAGTTTGAATATCAGGGTTAGGCATCGCCGTTAGATTAACTGAATTAAGAAAGTATGACATTAAGGATTTGGTATCAATCACAATAAACATCCAATGACGACTGCAAAATAATAACAATGATATACTCAGAATACGCATCAGATCATAAAATAGAGTAGGTTGGAGTAAATAAGGTTGGAATATAGCTTACTACGCATTATACGGGAGCAAATAATAATCAGTCGGTATTTTCATGCATAGGATCACATGATTAGCACAATATACAATCGTGTCACTCTGTTCACTAATAAAGTTGAGGTCAATGAATCTAAATCTGTTTGTCAACTGTCTCTCCTTTAGCTCTCTATATAGGAAGCTACACAATGACAATCAACACTGTTGGTTAGTATTACACCCTACTACTAACTTACTACATATTGGATGTGCATATTTGTATTTATAAGCTAACCCTATATAAGCAACGATTTCAGCAGCTGATAATTTATCCATTTCACAAAATTCTTTCACCTTATTTACACCAATGAAAGAAAATGATTGTTTATCAAATAAGTCTTCCTCAGACTCAATGGATATGAAGTTTTCATTGGCACAATTCTCCAGCGAATATTTTGTTAACTCATCCATGGAAGCCTAGACAAGGGTCAGACTTTGAGTTTGAACATCTTCCTATAATATTTAATAAAATATAAGTATTAAAACTAAATCAATTAATATAATAAACAAATTAATATTCAAATTATAAACAATATCATACTTTTTGGGTGGTAATAGATGATGGGACTGGCAACAGAAGCTTCTCGTACGGGAATGATGCTATCAGGTCGAGGCACAGGCATAACCTACTGCATTGCTGCCAACATGGACTTCAAAGTAGTGAGTCTTTGCTGTTAGTCATTGAGGCATTGCTCTTGGTCATTAATTTGTTGCTGTTGTTGCTCAATTATTGCTTCATATTGTGCATTTCTCATTCATGGGATTTTTGGTTGTTTACCAAAATACGTTGATGGCAAGACAAATTTACCAACCCTACGAACCTAACCAGGCCATTCTTTAGAACCTAATGCTAAAGACAAAGGATTTTCACTATACTGGGTTGTCAGTTCACTAGATTTTACTTTGGCAGCATAATCATCCTAAAAGATAATAATAAGTTAGGCTGTTAGAACAAATCTACACAAACTAGTATACATTCATGCATACAACCACAATGCCAGTCATACATTATATCAAAAAAGTAGTTATACATACAATCTTTTTTACCATTTTCTCGGTTGCTTCATCCGTGAAGGATCCATCTTTCCGTAAATGTCCTTGTTTTTAGACATCCCATATGAAAACTTTTGTGTTTGAACTCACTGATTCCTATTAAATTACCGTAATAAAAGAATCAAAATATATGAAATGAATGTTCATAAATATTCATTAATAAGTATAAAACAAGTGTGCGAATACATACAAGCTCATATTTCACATTTGCATATCCTTTTCTTACTGTCCGATGGTGATATTGCTGTTTGACTGAATGTCCTAATGTTGTTCTTTGATTTTTTACAAAATCAAGAAATTACGTAAATCATATATGAAGATAAAAGGCTATATTGCATAAAGATTTATAAACTTAGACTAATTTGGTAATGGGTTTGCATACCAAAAAATCTTCTGAAAGTCGATATTGAACAAAATTTATCCAATCTTCAACACTTGTGACATCTTCATATGCCATAGGTGGAACAGCCAAAATATCACCTTCACCAGCCAGCGGTAAAATATATTGGGTTGTCAATCTACTTTTAAAGTCTCTGAAAGCTTTCCTAGCAGATTGCCACATAATTTTTTGACACTCAATTGGAATGTCGAACCGTTCTTAAATAAATTAATACAAATAGTATCAACACATTGAATTTCAATTAAATGATCATATAACAAATTTTACAAAATAGTTGAATAAACATACCACAACGAACTGCCATATCTCATCCTTTAAATCATCAGGAACTCATTGCCAATCAGTGTACGTAATTGAAATCTTTTAACGGATGATGGCTCCAATACGAGTAGCCATCTTGACAGCTCTTTTCGACACAGA